TCAGAGTGTAATTAAATAAAGAAGTACTGAATAAAGGCTGTGTGGCTATTAACTACATTTCTTACTTTCTTTAGTATTACCTTGCATTTAAGAGGTGGCTGTGTTTTTAATCTTTACAATCATACACTTCTAGTGAATTCTTTCAACTGGAAAACTGCTTAAATCCTCTGGAAGCAGCCTGTGTATCCATCCGTCCCACTGACTGATGCTAGGTGGTGAGGTTCTGGGGGAATAATAAAACACTTGAGGTACACACCTCCTGTGTCAAGTCACTTCTTACGCTGCCACCACCTGTGCCTTGGTGTAGGTCTGGGTTGCACACACCTCTTTTAACTTGCCTGCCTGCACAGCTGCTTTACTTCAGTGCTCTGCTGGCGTGCTAGTTTCAAATGAAGCTCATCCAGGAGCTTTTTAGGCCTTACTTGAGCATACTTCTGTCTTCAGGTGGCTTTTTGGAATTTGTGACTAGTTAACTTGCCTCGATTTTTGTGTCTTTAGAAGGAAAACCATATTTTCATTCCAACTTGCCCAAATTTATTTTTTTTTAATCATCTTTTTTAATGATTTTTGTTTGGGTACAGAATATGTCTGCAGGTGGCTGAATGCCCAGGAGAGTCACCTCCTGTGTTGAAAGGGCAGTGGAGTTACGGCAGAGCTGGGTTGCAGTGTGTGTAGCTGGGCTCTGAAGCTGTGCCACAGAGAGCTTCAGTCACTGCCTGTGCTCTCACTTGCATTTCAAAGCTGCCTTTGAAGGAGTAGTTCTTCACTCTTTGTTCTAGTGGGAGCTCTCCAGCCTTTTCCCAGTCTGCTGGCACCACTGGCTATTTTTGGGGGAGCTTCCAAAGGGCTCCCTCTAGAAAGCGGATTCAAGTGGCCCTCCCCCAGCTGGTTGGGGAAAAAGTTTCTTTGGAGAAAAGTGAAAAAAAACTGTTTCTTTAACAAGCATAGAAAATGAACAATATTAAACATGCAAGCTCTCGTGTTGTGAAGAGATGGCAGGTTCGGCAAGTCCTTTGTTGGAGTCAGAGGCACAGAGAGTGTGCCCTTATCTCTGATACCTGGCTCTGACATCACTGAATTTCACATCACACCCTGAAAACAACTGGTAAAGTTAAATAGAAAAGCTAGGAATGTAAATATGTAAATTAGAAATTTTTCTTAAGTCACTGGGTGAAAAAGTTAAAGTTTGGAGTTTAAACTAGTTTAGAGAGCAGAAGACAAGATGGAGGATTCGGGGTGTTGTCTCTTGTCCTTCTTTCTTCTTCATCTTCTAGAGGTTTTTGGGTATTATTGGGTAGAAGATGTTGCAGTCCAGCACTCAGGTGTTGGGTCATTAAAAAAAATAATTTAGTTGGCATCTGTTAATTGGGTAAATGGACATATAAGAAACCTTGAAGAAGATCTTTGATGGTCATTTTGCACCTTTCTATCTTAGTGCTTGTACCCTGTATCCATGTAATGCAGATAAGAATAAATAACCAAGTCTGAACAAGAGAAAAAACTGCCTCCCTCTCATCAACTTCAGTTCAGGGTGAAAAAGAAGCCAACCACGAGAGTCATATAGAGACAGTCCTTGTCGTGGGGTGTAGCTCTGCTCTCTGTCTCTCACGGGTCCTGCTGGTGCTGGGAATTGCCGAGGCCCAGGCCCGGTGGGGCACAGGCCTGAGCTCCTGGGGCATTTCTGGGGTTCCACTCCAGAGCAGGGCCAGAAAAGCCCCAGGCTGGGGAACTTCCCTGCCTCAGCTTGCTTAAAAAAAGTGACTAAAAAGCAAAGGTGAGCTCTGTCCTGCTGTCTGTCCGTGCTGCAGCCAGCACAGGCCGGGAGCAGGAGTGCAGGGGAGCAAGTGCAATTTCTGCAAACAAACTGCAGCTTCTTCCCCCCCTTCCCTCTCAAACCAGTCTTAAAAGTGCAGAACTCAATATCCAGCCTAAACAGAACAGAGCACTGGGGATAAAGCATCATGAAGTCAATCTAGGACAGGCTTTGTACATGTGGATAAACACTGAAGGGAAACTTTGGTTATTTGCCACAGATTCTTTTTCTCGAGATAAATTGTGGGTTTGCCAGTTTCTTCCCTTTTTTCCCTGATCAATACCATAAAAATAAAATATAAACCATAAAATACCATATATATAAAATAAAACCCTATAAATCATAAAAACCCATGAGTATAAACCATAAATCTTTTGAATGTAAAGAAAGAAGTAATTTTTTTCTTGGTCAGTTCTAGGAGGTGTTGCCTGTTCACAACTGGTCAGGTGTGTTTGTTAAGATGTTCTTTAGGTGAGTGTTGGATACATGAACAGTTTAACTTTGGAGACTGTTGCTTTTTCACTGTCAGGCTGCTTTGATGGTGCCTCAAGGGGTGTTAATCATTTAACAGAGCTGAATTAAAAGGTGCAAGCGCATGGCTCCTGCTCTCACCTGTTGTCAGTGGCCTTCTGTTTTCCTGATCACTTTATTGTTAAAAATAACAGGCACAGAGTTGCAAATTGGAATAAAGGGGTGAGTGAAGTTTTGATTTCTGTATGAAGAGCTGGGCCCTGACAGCTGTTAAACTGCACACTGAGTTCATTAGTTGGTTTGGATTGAAGATAACAAAATCAAGCATAAATTTTAGAGAACTAAGAAAAACATTCCTAAGGAAATATGAATAATACTGTTTAAAAGAACAGAGGAATTAGGGAACACTTGATAAATTCTAAAACAAATTAGGTTAATTTCAAGAATGTATTTTTGATAGTGTGAAAGCTTTAGTTACTTTAGGAACTTTGAACATTATGCTTATGAGCATATTGGTATTTTGCAAAGATCCTCCTTTCTGCACCTTCTCCCTCAGGGAAAGCAGAATTACAGATGCTCATATGGAAATTTGCTTTTAATTTTTGTTGCAGGAGAAACAAATGTACAAATAAAATAAACAAATCCCCATTAAAATATAGTACTTCCCAGTTGTCTAACACGTGATATTTGAAATTTTACTTGTTTAATTTTGTTTTTGAAAGACTGAGAAAATGAATCATTTCCACCTGTTTTCAGTTGCGTCCACTTGTCCGCTATATTTAGGCTGCCTAGGAAAATAAATCCACTAGGGGAAAGATGGACAATTACTGGTGTTATTCAGGTCCACTTAAAGCAGTATTTCAGAGGGTTGCCTGACCATGAAGGTCTATGAAGTATTTTGGATATCAGCTATCCATGGGTAAGAGTTCATACGTGCACCAACATGTCCTTTTTTTTGTTTTGTTTTTAAAATCATTGGTTGGGAGCTCAGAACTGAACTAAATCCCAGTAGTCTTGGATTTGAGGGAGTTATCTAATGGCTTCCAGGGGAAATGACCAGGAAATCAGGCCTGTTTGTCACCCAGATGTATTTGCACACTTCATTTGCAGATTGGTGCCTACGTATTTTAGAATTGCAGCATTGTCTTGTGTTTAAATTGTCTGTGTAAAAGCACTGTTGCTGCAAAGCCCCATCTGAAATGCTGCTGGCTTTGTACCCAAGTGCAGCCTGGGTTGCTCACTTGAATTACTTTGATAATCTAGGGGCCAAAATCTTTGTTTACCTGGGAAAAAGAAGTTATGAAATGATGGAAGGTTCTCATTCGGTGGTGGCTCTTCGAATTTTTTTTTTGTACAATAAATACGCACTTGTTCTCCTTAATTATTTTATTTTATTTTTTATTTGGTTGTAAATGAAAAATGCGCCTTGTCTTTTTTCTGTCTCGTTATAAATCTTTCCACAGACCTTTTTGAAGGTGAGACTATTCAGTGATAATCTGAGGAGGGTAGCACTGATTTTTAATACCCTGTTTTTCAAATCACGTGGCAACTGCTGAAGTTACTGTAATCTGAGAATGAATTTAAGAGTCTCCAAGGGTTATGTGAGTCTCCTCATTAAAGTTAGGGGGAAAGCATTATTGAAGCACCTTTCCTACTACTTAAAGTATTAAATTGCCAGGATTTCTAATTCAGAAATCTGGTTGTCTTCAGCTGAGGCTTTGTCTGCCTACAAATTTATTACATAATTCAAAGTTTGCCTGGAACATTCCACATTTACTGTATTGGTAGTGTTGCTTTCATGTGTTATGAGTTTGTGAATTGTGGAACACAAACAGTGTGTTAGTGTTTGAAACCAGCCCATTGCCAGAGACAGAGCTTTAGTACCATGAGGTTTGTGATTCATCCTGAATATAACACAAGTTGAGTTTTATCCTTTTGCATTTATTTCTTCTCTGTGTTCAGGCTCCAGGGGACAGGAAATGAGTTTGGTCTGGTGGGGTTGTTTGAGGTCCTTCTGTGTGTGATGGGTTTTCCATCTGCATTTCCTCCATATTCTGTGCTGGAATCCAAGTTTCAGATTGCTGTGAAGGGTCGAGGGTGATGTGGTGCTACCAGGCCACTGTGCAGAATAAGGCCCTGCAGCATCAGAGGAAAATGCCCAGGATATTCTGGGTAAAGCACGGGTTCATGTCCAGCTGACTCAAAATGCACGGTTTGTTTGATTGAATCAAACAGGATAAATTGCCCTGGTTAATTCAGGTTACACTTGGGGGACTTCCTCAGGTGAAGAATAAGCACCAGTTTTCTGCTAGTTACATTTCCATTCTGACTGAAAGCAGATTCTGAAATAGTGGCAGTCTGTTCGGCAATGCTTCCAACTGCAAGCCAGGTTATTCATCCTGGTTCTTTGGGTAAAAGTGCTATTGAAATCACCAACAAATTTTTACAGCTGCTTCCCCAGCTCCACTTTTAAAATTTCTTTCTTCTTTGTAATACTGTGCAACCACCCACAGCTTATGTGCTCACCATGGGCATTTTTATAACTGTGATAAAAACTACAAATGTGTTCTCACTTAAAAGTAATTGCACCATTACTGTAATGCTTTGTAGAAAATAAAGTTTTTATCAATGTCAGGTGTTTTGCCAAAAAGAAAAAATATTACATGTCCTATCCTTTTTATGCTCACTGAATTTTGTGTTGTTTTTTTTTTAACAGTGATTCCAGAATTTATTAGTCAAGTAAATATTGCATTGGAGAGCTTAAGCAAGAACACAGCACATCTGTTTGATGACAACCAGTTTGTGGACGTTTCCAAGAAGGTGTACGATACGATTCATAACATCAGGTGCTCTGTCATGATGATCCGGGTAAGTTCTTGTCATACTCCTCTCTGGGATGGCTCAGGATGTCAGGGCGTTTTGGGAGCATCCAGAACTGTGTGTGTGTGATAAGTGTCCCCAGGCTCATATCCAGGTCCAGCTGCCCTGGGAAATTCAGGTTACAGTGAAACATGTGTGACTGTAACTCCAGATGTCTAGAATTGCACTGAGGACCACATCAGAACGCTGCATAAAAATGTATTTACTTCTCTAAAAATACGTAGTTATGTTTGGTTTGTAAAGATCTTCCTTTGCTTTGTTAATTACTAACTTACAGCTTCAAAACCAAATCATCTTGTAGTTCTTCAGCTTCAGCCTGTGGAATGTAGGAGAGAGTATTTCCAGGTGATTCTGATAATCCCATATCAAGTTCTTTCAGTTTACACCAGAAGACTTAACCTGATTTCTTTGTCTTACACAATTGCAATCGCTGCATTTACCCTTGTGTTTCTCCTGAAGTTCAGACACTGAATCAGAACAGCTTATTTTTAAAATTCAAACCAAAAAAGGCTGGAGAAGGCTGTGTGGAGGCTGTGCAGCAGCCCTTGGGTGCTTACAGGGGGCTTATAAATGAGATGAGAACAGATTTTTCAGCAGGGCCTGGTGTGGTAGGGCAAGGGGTAATGTTTCTAAACTGAAAGAGGAGTGATTTAGGACAAAAGGAAGAAATTTTTTCCAGTGTGAGTGGTGAAACACTGGCACAGGTTGCCCAGAGAGGTGGTTGAGGCCCCATCCCTGGAAGCATTCAAGGCCGGGCTGCAGGGGGCTCTGAGCAAACTGGTCTGCTCATTGCAGGGGGGTTGGGTTAGGTGGCCTTTAAAGATCCCTTCCAACCAAAACCATTCCAATGTGAACAATACTAGTCTCAACATACTGCAGTGTGGAGTTAAAGTAGGAATTAAAATGTGGAAAATGGCTAAAATGTCTCATCCTTATTGCAGTTGTCAGGAAACCGTTTGTGTACTGCAGAGAGACCCTGAAACATCCAACAGGTACCCCAGAGCAGTAAGAATTTGGGAGCTGGATGTAGCTCCAAACCAAACAAACCAGACTCTGGATGATGCTGTTAGATCTTCCACTCAGTTATTGTGTCAGTGAACACAAAAGTTTTCAGTAGGACATCTCCTTTTTTTTTCTACTTAAGTTCCATTAATGCCTGTGTTGCTCATCCCTCCCTTCCCCTAGTGACTGAGGGGCTCTTGGGTCTTTAAAGATTACGAAGTTGCTTCTGTTTCTCAGTGAGATCTGAATCTTCTCTGTGGCCAGTCCTCAAAGACTTGAATGGTCATGAGTGAGCATTTCTTTCAGGAGTTTTGCATTTCTGTTGAATTGGGAACGCACTGAGGAGTGTAGCAGGGCTTCAGTCAGTTTCTGTGAGGAGGCAGACACAGCTCTGAGGAAGCTGTATTTCCTCAGAGTGCTCTGTGGTGGGTGTATGTATGTGGACAGTCACTCAGAAAGGGGTTATGAGAGGAAAATCCCAGGAATTGCCCGGTGTGCAGTGCCTGTGCTGTGCACCCATGGAACGTGAGTCACTGCACACCACCGGAGTGCACAGCAGTGATAGAGTGGCTCTGCAGGGCCATCTTCCACTGCTGCTTTCAGGTCCTCATGAGAGCTCAGGAGACTACAAAAACTGTGAGAAAGAACAGGAGCTTTCTACTTAATCAATACCATCGTTCAGCCACAGCCATGGGGAGGTTTTTCTGAGCTTTGGTGCAGTGTTAGTCAGCTACTCCAGCCTCCCTTAGAGACAGTGACAGCACAGGGAGTGCTGAGGAAACCCTGGTATCCATTTTCTGAGTCAGGATTATTTGCATTCCTGGTTAGATACATTGCAGACAATGCCAGTTTCCTGGAAGAAGCTTTAGTCAGTGTGGTGGTTCCTCAGGTGTACAGTTCATAGCAGCCAAGGTGAAGAAATGAAATGTTCTGTGGCCAGTGTGCTGACTCTGGCACCTCACTGATTATGGGGGTTGAGTGCAAGGCTGAATCAGGGGAAGAACTCAATCAAAAAATAATTGAGAAATGTAAATCAACAAGACCACTCATTCACAGGGGGTGATAAAACGTGGCAGTAAAAGCAGAAATTCTCCAGATCAGTTTCTCAGGAAGCATTTCAAACACATAATTACACAGAGAAAACGTTTTTAAAAATAGAGTTCCTAACTGTAAAATGCTGCCCAATACTATTGTTAATGCAAATGATCAGCTTTGCATTTCAATGTCCAAGTTGAACCAAAGACACATAAAACATACATTGCAATCCTGCATGCTGTAATATAACACTGGAGAGCAGCTACAGAGTGGCAGATGTGTTGTGCTGCGGAGCAGGAATAGAAATTCCTCTGGAGCACCGGGATGCTGCTCCCCATAAGATGCTTTTAATTGTTCACATGCTTAATAACATTTCCAATAACTAGATAGTTGATCCAGGGTGTAGCTACATTTCTCTGACATTTTTTGACTCTAAGCATCTCATTTTTGCTGTGTTTTAGAGATTTTGTGGGCTTGATCTTGCACAGGAGCATTTGTACATTATCTGGATAACATTTTAATCAGGGTATTGATGTCACAGAAATAGGTTAGATTAGGAAGTACAATTAAAAGCAATTCTGCCATGTAAACATGCAGAAAAGTCAAAGGAAACAGGTTGATGGCTTTTGGTACAGTACATACTAAATGCTGCAGAACATTAAGATTAATGGTTGAACTTTTTCAAAAACTTCTGTATGGAGGTGTTTTTATTTGAAAAACATGAGACAGCGGGATTGAAGTAACAGCTAGCAGTATCCCATTCGGCTATAAACTCAGTGGAAAGGAATGACTTCAAAAGAATAGTGACTGCTGGTAGCTGAAGCACTAATAGTCATCCTAACAGTTACACCAAGAACAGTGGAAACAGAGTCACCAAGTCAGAAGTTTCACAGAATTCTTTGTTCTTTTTGGAGGATAAACAAGTGAGCAGCTGTTCAGGTTTTACAGAGACAAAAAGAGGGCAAAGGGTTCATACACTCTATGCAAAAAAATGCTTTTACTATTCTTATCTTCCTGGAAGCAGTGAGGAACCCATGTTCCCTAATTTTGTGAGAGGTGGAGCATGTGTATTGAAATACTTGTTCTTAACATTGTAAAGCATTTATTAAAAATCCTTTCTGCTTTTTATTAAAAATCCTTTTCTGCTGTACCTAACAGCACAGGTATTCTCTGTGCTGTTTCTCTCAGGATTCTGGCATGGAGACCGTAGGTTCCCTCAAGAGTTTTTGGTGTTAGGCTTTTTGAGTTTGTTTTGCACGTTGTTCCTAGATTTCCCTGCAGCATGGTGTATGGGATATCCATCCCCAGGCCCCCCAAAACTGAAAAATGCATTCATTCTTCTTTTCTGTCTAACCTAGATACTTTCATTTCAATTAGATCCTCCCTGCATCTCAAATCCCTAATATTCCTGTTTCTATACCTAACAGTCTTTTACTGTTGTTTTTACTGGTGGTTTAATTTCCTTTGGAAAGTGAGACTCAGGTTAGCTGCACATTCAACAGTCTACAGCATAAATGCTTTTTCTTATGTTTTGGCTTTCTCAGAATATCCTTAGGATGGGTTCCCTTTTTTTTTTTTCTTCTGTTGGTTGCAAATTTGGCGTGGTTTTTCATCCTGTTTTAAAGAAATGTAGGAATTCATCCTTAACAGAACTTCTGAGTTCTTCAGTACGCTTGATTTCTCTCAGTAAGAGACTTGACAGCAGAATTCATTACCTAACACCCAGCAGAGGTACAGGAAGTTTTAGAACATGGACCTCTAGGACAGGAAGGTAGCAAGTGATGAGAACCTTCCAGCCTGTTAATGAGTGTCTAGTTTAAATTCTACCATGGCTTTTACTAATGACAGAATGATCTGCACTTGCAGGGTTTTCTGCCTGTTTTTACTTCTGTAGTCCAAGTGAGTTAGATCCTGTCCAATGCAGGCAATAACAGGCATGAATTGAACCTCTGTTTCAAAGCAAAACAAGGAAACATATGAGAAAGGCAGACATTTACTGCAGTCCTGCTGTTTGTTCTTGAGACCTCATGGAGCAGACAGCCAAGGAACAGTTCATACAGCCTTGTTCAACTTCATTGTTGGTCTGAAATACAGGAGAGATGCTAATCCAGTAAAAACTCATATTGAGAAGTTTGATAAAAACCTTTCTCTTTTTCTGTCCTACACCAGCTGCACAAGAGGCAGAACCTTTGCAGCAGTAGTTAGCCACTTGGTCCTGCACCTCTCAGCACTTTCTGGTTGTGGCTGACCTGAGTAGGTCAGGACCTTTCCTTCCCCAGCTCCTTGTCAGCTTCAGTCCTACCACACACTGGTATCTCTGCATGCAGTGTGCCTGCAAAAGAATGAGCTCATGTGAGGTCTTCAAAAAAGAGTGCAGCAGAAATACCTGATGTCTGTTAGGGGTAGTTGGACACATCTTCCCTTTTCAGGTTTTTATGCAGAGTCACATAAAAGGACAATGTCAGTTAGTGCCGTAGAACCCAGTTAAGAGGTGAGTTCAAAGCTTTCAGTGCCACGGTCATGTGTGCACACCTGCAGGTAAAAGCTGCTGGCAGCTGCTTGTCCCTGCCACATTCCCTGGCTTTTAACATCTCCAGTCACCATCACCAACCTTGAAGTACCATTTTGGGAAAACTTAGAGCACTGTCCCACACTGGTTACTTTTCTTATCTTAATTCATCTACCTACTTTCTAAAAATGTCTATGTTCTTACAGGATACCCAGGAAGCCTTCTCATAATGTACAAATCCATGTTATAATTGATATCACTATTAGCATTGAGTCAATCATTATTATTATGACTCTACCTTGCAGAGAGCTTATCAAAATGCTCTGTACTAAACAGTTTTGGGACACAATCAGCATACATTTCAATTTAGCATGCAGACATTTTTAAAAATGCTGATCTCCATTTAGTACCAGGGGAGTTTGTCTTCCCAGATAAATAAAGC